CACACATGCTAAAAAACAACAACTTACTTACACATAGTAAGAAATGGTTATAAAAACTGAAACAGACGTGAAACAAGTAGTAGGAAAGAGGAGAAATAAAAAAGCGATACTTATCATTAACATATTATTATATTAACATCTACTGTCCTGCAACCGAGCAATAATCAGGTGGTCACCATATTATAGATGGCTATTCAAACAAACAACATCAAAAAGAAGTTCCAATCTCTTCACAAGTTTGCTGTTATTTTTTTATTTTTATTTTTTAAATTGTATTTTTGGGCTTTTTGTGCCTATAATATTCAGACAGCTACCTGGCAAAACTGGTCCACACAGCCAGTTTTCTCTCGACCCACATACAGCACAGAATAATGACCCTTTTTTAGTCAATATCTGGGGGTGCATTTACAAAGATTTTCATTTTACCACTAGCTGTCTTCCTAAGGGTTTCTAGCTGAGACTTTCAGCTTAAAACCGATTTACAAAACTCTTAAGGACATGTTTTACTAAGGGATTTTTAATGTAAGAGTAAGGCAGGGTTGACCATGTTGCTCTGGATTATGTCCCTTTTTATGAACATGCTCTTTTAATTCATCCTGCTATGATTCACCACTGGTAGTGAAGCAAAGCAGGCAAACAGCAGGAAGGACCGATATACTATATGAAATACAAACACAACATAATCAGGTAATGGTTACATACCTATGGTTAATTCTGTTCAGTTGCCCCTTATCAATGAAACTAATTTGACAATATATATAAACCAAAAAAAAAAAAAAAAATGCAGTAAGCTACTTCAATGGATAAAACTGAAAAAAGGAAGACAAAACTAAGAAGACAATTTTTGTGATTAGGCCAATAACTTATTAAAGGTTTGATGTCATTTTAATATTCCAGTATATTTACTTGGTTGAGATGCAGATTGACGAGCAAGCATGCTTCAATGCAATATAGATGTCCTGAGATCAGGAGCTACTTTCAGTTTGGTGAATTACCCTTGGGTGAAAACTTTACAAATCCTAAAATTAGGAGCAAGGCATCCCTAATTTTTGCTCCTATTCCTACATTTCCACATTAGGAGTAACTTTTAGCCATATGATTTCTGGTGAATATGGCCCTAGGGATACAGACAACGGCCACACAATAACTGTCCCAAGTTCCAGTCAATTAATAACATCTAACCAGCCATGAACTAGGACAGAATATCAGTTATCAAGTAAACTTTATCAACACTAAATCTAAGTCACATCTAACCCAATGCCAAAGCAGAATCTCAGCCATGGAGCCATTCATAGGCAGGGAAACACACATTCATAACCTATGGATAATTTAGTGCCTTCAAGTATTTTAGAGTCTAAGATGTTTTTTGACTGTAGATGAAATATCACACACGGGGTAAATAATAATAGATCAGCCAGAAATCAAGTTGGGGATCTTGTTGGGTACCCAACAGTGCTACCTACTGAGCCGCTATGCAACCCTAAACCTCAGCCATTAAAGGGGTCATATGATGCTGCTAAAAAGAACATTATTTTGTGTATTTGGTCTAATGAAATGTGTTTATGAGGTTTAAGGTTCAAAAAACACATATTTTCCACTTACTGTACATTATTGTTTCTCCTCTATGCCCCGCCTTTCTGAAACAATGAGTGAATTCAGACACTGATGAACAGCTGCTGTTAACAAGCAGAATCACTGAAGGAAAGAACAAGAAACAAAACTACAACTGACTTCCAGTCACAGCCTTAGATGAAATTAACCAAAATAAAACAGCAGAGGAGGATTACACAACTCCACAAACAGCATTACCAGCTTCACTCATTACTAACCAGTTTGACTGTATTTCTGTGATATATCTACAAAAATTCTTTGAGAATTAACTGAGGTTTA